GCGAAAAGCTCAGCTCAGAGTTTGAGGACATCAAGACCGCAACCATGCGGTTCTTTCAACTGCTGTTAAAAGTTGCAAATCACGCCGCTTTGTTGGCCCCAACCGTCAGACAATCACTCGACCAGCAAGAAAAGGTACCTTACTGTAGATGATGAGCAGATAACTGATTGGAAGGCAGATGAACATAGGGGGCATGTTGCTAACTGGAGGTGGCAGCTAGATAAGACTTCAGGTGGCAGCTAGATAAGACTGGAGGTGGCAGCTAGATAAGACTGGAGGTGGCAGCTAGATAAGACTGCAGGTGGCAGCTAGATAAGACTGCAGGTGGCAGCTAGATAAGACTGCAGGTGACAAGTGGGTAACTGAACTGATGGCAGGGTCTCATAGCAGTTTTCAACCCTCACCTTGGACAATTTTTCAAAAACCTTATGTTAACATGGAAACCATCTATCTTCTTGTGATATTTTTAGAGACGATTCACTACCCTTTTTGGCTAGTACCGCTAATGGCCTAACTTAGAAGTACCATCAACGGGCCTTATTTATTCTAAATAAGGCCTGAAAAAGTTAAGGCGTGTACGGGATTTGGACCCATGACCTCTGCGATACCAATGTACTACTCTACTAACTGAGCTAACAAGCCAACTGGGAGCTGGTCATTATGTTAGTCCGTAATAAACCCTTGAAGTGTCGAATCATTGACTGTAAATATCTGAAAATCATATATGTGAACTGCGGTAACTGTGGTAACTACTATAATTGGCTTTGCAGTTGATTTTTTTTTTCAGAAGTTTTCCGGAGGGAAGGGCTGTTTAAGGTGTTTAAAGTGATCAAATCGTCGAGGTGGTGGGATTTTAGAGTGGTCCTCTCATTCTCACAATTAACTCATACGATTTGAGAGTAAAGGTTAAGTAATCGTTTTGCTTGATTTGCCTTCCGCAGGCCAAAGACCTTTGTTTGCGTGTATTCGCAAGATATCCAGAATTTTCCGGATGCACAGAAATATCGTCGTTTGAACTTTTATCAGACCCAAAGTACTGTGGAAAAATGAAGGTACTTGAAAAATTGATGAAGGTTTTTCAAGAAGAACGCAGCAAACTACTTCTCTTCTCAAGATCCACGCAGGTAGGTATCGTAAGAACGCTGTTCATGCCACTTTAGTAGAATAATTCGTTGGGAATATCGGAAAGCTAGTCAAGGTTAATGGATGGATATCATATAGTACAGCAAATTAATTTAGCTTCAACTCTCCTCTTGTCAAATTCATCTTTTGGTTATTTACATTCATCCGCTGAAATATGGGTAAAGAAAATAAAAAAACGGGCTTTTCTCATCAATGACGGACCATACAAAGGCCCATGTGCCTGTAGTTTCCTGAACTTTTCCCCGTTTCTACAATTTAAAGTGACTGGTAAACCTAGAAGATGCCAGTCCAGCATGCATCTGCCTCCCTCTGTACCGGTTTGCCAGTTTCCTGTTTTGCGTTTTCTCCTTGACTGAGAGAGGAATTGTAATAGTAAAATATTTTGTCCAAGAACACAACACCATAGTGCTGATCAGGAAAAAAATGTATGAGTTCGTTCCAGGTTCCGAAAGAACATAAAAGCTGTATATCCAAAGGATGTATTTTCTATAACATTGTTTCAGCTGCTTAACATCTTAGAGGAGTTTGTAATCAGTAAAGGACTGGTGTACAGTCGTTTGGACGGAGGAACCAAGCCTGCAGACAGAACCCGTTTGGTACACGAGTTTAACGTCGACCCAAATATCTTTTTGTGTCTTATCTCGACTAAAGCGGGAGGACTGGGACTCAACTTCACCGGAGCTAATATTGTTATAATATTTGACCCCAACTGGAATCCGTCCAGTGACTTACAGGCACAGGACAGGTATTTAGATTTATTTAGATTTAGAGTATGATTAGCGTACAACTAGGAGTGGCCAAAAGCTTAATATACCTCTTTTTAAAACAGCCTCAGGACAAAGAAAATTTTATTACAGAACTATTGGACTTTGAAACAATTTAGATCCCTTTTTAAAATCAAGCCGTTCGGTTCAAGTTTTTAAACGTATCTTAAAGAATAAGCTTTTAGACAATTTTGTAAATACTCCCTAAACTTCATTTATTTTTAGTATTTTTCTCGACTACAAAGTTTAGATAATGTTGTAAATGTTTCTTAAATTTAATTAATTTTAATTGTGTAGTTATTAGTAACTTAAGTAATTTAAATAATTGTTCCTGAAAAGCCCCATTGGGGAGGTAACAATAAAGTATGTATGTATTCGATGGCATGTTTGCTCTGGAGCAGTTTAGACTGGGCTGAAAGCAAAGTAATCACGGCAGACAATCATAGCACATTAAAAGGGTGACAAGCAGTCAGTGATAACTCCCAGCTAAAATCAGCTGACAGCCTGGGGCGAACTAAAGAACAACTTTACTTTTGGATTTGATTTCGGCCTTGGGCAGTTTCTGATCCAAGAGTTACTATCCGACAGGTTTTTTGTGCTACTTGTGGCGTCTATGATTCCCAAGTGGTAGAATGTGTCCTTTTTTTCCGCAGGGCATATCGCATTGGACAGCGAAGAGATGTGAAGGTCTATCGCTTAATATCTTTGGGGACAATCGAAGAAATGATGTATCTTCGACAAGTTTACAAGCAGGTTACTTTCCCTTATATGGCGTTTGTTGGTGGGTCCTCCCAATTTTTTTCCTGCAGACAGGCAAAAAGCATACTTGGTGATACCCCCCTCAAGTATAAAAAAAGTAAACCTAGTGATAACCCTGGGTGGAGAAAGGGTTGTGAAGGTACAATATCTTGCTCAAGACTGCAACACAATAGCTCGGCCCCAGCGCTAATCACAAAGGTACAGCGTCTTTAATTCGCAAGGCAGTACAAATTATAGTCTCCTTTCCTTTGATGTAGCAACTGGCTAGTATGGCGGTTGGAGGAACAAACGAGAGGCGATACTTTACAGGTGTTGAAGGTGACAAGGACAAGAAAGGCGAGCTGTTCGGACTCGAGAATCTGTTCTCTTACCGTGCTGAAGGTGCCAGTTTGTCCAAAGATATCATCAGAAGAACAGAGGAACTAGAAGCTGGATATAAAGTTGCAAAATATGAGTTGACAAACTTCAAGGAATGGGAAAATGCCTTAGAGGGGGAGGTAACAGAAAGAAGTGGCGTTGAATATTAAGTCACTTTTTTGTTGATGCCCTCCATTCATCCGAAACCGTCAAAAATTAAATCACGTCAATCAGAGTGCTCCTCGATTTGCGTCTATTCGTTATGAAGAAAAATATGTTTTCTTTTTTAGGACAATAACAGCTCTGCAAACCTGAAACTTCACGACGATCCTTATAACATTGAAGAACTCGCGTCACAATTTGTTGATGATCAGCAAAGAACGTCATCTCGAATCACTTCAAAGAAACAATATTCTGAGAACCGTTTTAAAGGTATGTCATTGAAGAATAAACTCATTGAAGACCATAGCGGTTTTGCTAAACACTACGGGGATTCCTTTAAAAGAATGGAAAGTAAGGGTATTCATGATGATGAGAAAGGCATTCTTCACGAATTTGACAACAGTCAATTGTGTTCAAATTACAATGACGATTTTCTTGAAACGAAAACTCATAAGAACAAGTTTGTCTCCAAAAATACGAAAGCTAAGAGCTCTCTGGAAAAAATTGAAACGAGGTTCGTATCTGTTGAGCTGTTCCTCGGATTAGAAGACGATAACGGAGCAAATAGCTCATCGCATAACTTCACGAAAGTCAAAGAAAAAGCAAGCGTTTCCTGCACGAGAATTCCTACTTCGATCGAGAAAGAAAGTTCCGATGTTATCCATCCTACTCTGAGTTGTAAACGTGGATCTAAATCGATAATAACCAATACAATCTGTGCGGGAGATTCAGTCGACCAAGGATCATGTAGTAAAGAGAAGAAACAAAGTGAGATGAGGAATTCATCCAGAACGTCTTCGTCAAGTGGAGAAGATGACTCCAACGAAGGCTTGTTCTTCAAGCGTAAACGAAAACAATCAGTACGATTTTTCAGAAAGAGGAAGCATGCAGAGATGTCGGCGAAAGCAGTACTTAAAGATGGTCAAGGGAAATTTCGAAGGTGAGAGTTCATGCATCCGCCTGTTAGTTCAGGGAATCCGAACCAAACCTATTGTATCGAAATTGTTTCAGCTTGACCCGGCTTTACTTCACTGAGTTTTCTTTATCAAGTGCCATCGATCGTTCTGTCTTCATTTGAAGTGAATTTTGTCCTTGACCCATTCAATATAGTTTTCATTTTGAGGTGAAATTGATAGGTAACATGACGGGCGTCTTATTGAGCACCTGGGCAGTATTCCCCTCATACACTCCCCACCCCAACCCCATTTTTAAACCTTTGAGGGATTGAAATAAGCTCGTAGGCAGTATCCTCATACGCTCCCCACCCCACCCCCGTTTTCAAACCTTTTGAGGGATTGAAATGAGCGGGGCAGTATCCACCTTACACTCACCCCCTCCCCGTCCCCTTTCAAAAAAAATTTTAAAAGGCTGTAACTTTTTGGCAGCTTTAGCAAGCAGGGCATGCCAATCGCTATTCAGTCGTCATTGAGTTGTCTCTAGAGCCCCTAAAGCCATGATAAGTAAAGTAATTTTGACTTTACTTTTTTTTTTTATTGATAAGATATACAGGACAGAAAAACTACAACAGCAGGGTCGACAACAATCCTGTAAGAGAGGTAAAAAAAGCAAGGAAAGAAAACACGGTGGCAGAAATTCTGGGTAAGTTGTACAGGAACAACAAGCATTGCCAAAGACGCCGAATCACAATACCAGTATGTTGGGTTTTTTTTTGAACGACGTTCAAAACCACCATCAACTAAGAGGGAACAAAAAATATTAGTTTGCAAAATGGAAAAACATCACAGAGGTGATAAATAGGAATGGACGAGTGAACGATGAAAAAAATTAATAAGGATGGCAAATAAGACATTGAATACAAGAATTGTAGCCAAATTCCTAAAGACTCACAAGACGTAAGGTAGCTCTACTAAGCGCCATGACGTTATTTATCAGGTCTTCGTTTGTTTTACTTTTTGTTTTAATTTGTTTTTTGTTTTCACCGCAGAATCATGTGGAGTGCATTACACACACGCCAATCGGCATGTCGTCGGACCAAGTGAAGCAGAGAATCACATGTCAAAACAGGCACTACAAGATGTGTTTGAGCTCAAGCAGTTTTCTCAGCAGCCAGCAAATTGTTTTCCCGCCTGGGAGGTATGCACCCGGAATGTTTCTTTGCCCTAGATCAGTTTGTATGCCATTTTAACAATGTAAATGGATGAGAGATGTCTTCAATATGATTTTTATTCCCAAGGGCACGTGGATATCTTTTCCGATCAACGAAAATTAGAGAATAAATTAATTCCCCAAGCTTGTCGCTGGATCCACGTTGATCTGCGCGGGGGGATCTTACAGAGTTTCCCTAGCTTTGCACCCGTGTTTCCGCGCTTTTTGGTAAAATCAGCATTATAATTTTCTGAGTTTTTTTCCTTTTTAGATAAATTTAACTTAAGTGTATTCGAGAAAATATTTTGGCAGCAACAATCTTGCATCTTGTGATGTAAAAAGTGTCTGGCCTAGCATGTTCGTTAAGTCAACGTATCATTTTTCGTGAGAAATTTTTTTAACGATAACCTCGTAAGGTATAATGCGTTGCTCTGTATCCTTGTTTCAATCCCTTCAAAATTTCGTTCCACAATTTGATCATCATTGTACTCAGGCCAGCGATGAAAGTGATGATCTTGGTGAGGGCAGTCGCGACAAGCAACCAGAAGCCCTTTGGCGCGCACAACGACCGGAAATGGAGACTAATCAACCCAGTCAATCAATACCGCACAGGTATAATTTCGTGAGAGACTGTTATAGAAAATTGTTTATTATAATTATAAATTTATTATATCCATTTAGAAATCACTGTTGATCCTTGCAATGCGATTGGCTCTCAACGGCGCAATTTATTTATGAATCGCACCATTTTTTGCTCTAATTTGCATCTAATTTACAACCAACGACCAACAACCAATCAGATTGGCTTGTTTAGAATAAGCGATCAAATTTCAGGAAAATGAAAGACAAATTTAGCATCTTGTTACAAACCAGCTCAATATTGGATCAATAAAATATTTGTACATACTAAAGAATCCTGCATTTGAGCGACTGAATTTTGCGATTTCAAAATGTATATAACAATGTGAAAAGTGAACGTGTCATGCAATTTTGGTCTGAAATAATACTTGTGATTTTAAATCAAACCTGCGTTGCGTACTCTTCGATTTTGAAATCACGCGTATGATTTCAGACCAAACTGCAGATGATAGATGGAGTGAGTTCTTTGTTTAAGAGGAACATGTTTTCTCGAGTTTGGTTTTCTTGTCACGGTCATCATTGTCGTGCTTGGTTACGACACCCACCCACTTCGCAACTTTCGAACTTTTTCGTCTTTTCTTCCTTACAACTTTACAACTTTCAGTCAACGTGAGAGAATCCTTGAAATATTTGTATGGTGAGATAAACAAGGACATAGATTGCGAACGACAAAATTTGACTAACTTCTGTTAGGCATCCTAAGGTTACATAGATTTATCTTTCTCTAAAGTGTGATTGTGCAAAGAAAGGTTATTCACTCTGTGGTATCTTACGTCAATTATTTTTCTTTTTTTTTTTCCCCGCAATAGTGAAATGTTAAGGCTTCTGATAAAATCACTCGTCACAATAGAAGAAAGCGAGAAAAATTTTCAATCTTTCTTGTTTCATTTTAGATTAAATCAATCCGCGCAGGACAATGACACCACGATGAAGAGAATTGGAAACAGCACTGTATTTATCGGCTCGACTCCTCGTGGAATCCGTCGGCAACATTTTCAGGAAATGTCGAACGCGTTCGGATTTGTCTCTGAAGTCGACCTTGCCAAAGCTGTCGTGGATTGCAGTAACTGTGAAAGGCGTGAAATGTTGAGGCGCTTTTACGTCCACAAGAATCCAAATTTATCCGATCTATGGGACGTAACAAGAGACTTTTTTGCTGGACGCCAAAACCGAAAAAAGGCCGTTAAGGATGGCGAATGGTCTGTCGCGAAGATGCGGAAAAGGTTGATTCGTGAAACGTCCAAAAGATCGAATGGGAAGTCAAAGCCCCTGCAAACACATTTTCATGGTAAGGACGGGTGTTCTAAGGATAATCTCGAGAGAAGAATTCACCATCACTCTGGGGGGGAAACTTCCCGAAGTAAAAAGCCAAAACTTGCTATGGCGTTGAGTGGGAATGAAAAAGTCCCTGATGAGAGTCGTCTTGAAGACTTTGTAGGGAACAAAGAAAGAACTCATCATGTTGATCGGAGAAACAGAGACGTGCCTCCTGCAGGGGCAGGTCATTCTGTTGGACTTGCGCATGTACCATCGATAGCAACAGCTCCTGATGAAAATTATGTGGCAGAGAACCAAGATTCTAGTTTTGAGAATGACAATCCCCTCGTTGCAGTTTCCATTTTGGATCAATTTCTGATGCACAACTCTTCCAGCTTTGACACAAAACGAAAAGAGGATAATAACAGAGGATTAAATAAGTGTGAGCCATTAAGTTCTAAAAGAAAGGAAGACAAACAACTGGACAATACTGAACGAAAAGAGCCAACTGCATGTAGAACGAAGGCAAATAGCACATCACTACTAGATGAGTTCATTTAGGAAATGCTCAAAGTGGAATTTTACACCAGATTTGATGATTTGATAAACGACTAATAGGTTTCGATCAAGGGTTTTTCGAGTTTTAGAGGTTTTTATGAGAGGCCAAGGTGGAACTGGCTGTGAATATTTTTTACGGAAACGATACGATTTTATGGTTTGACCCATTGTGCCAATGGTTTTTTAAGCATACAATAAAGACAATTTTTAAAAAACATTCCTGCAACCCCCCAAAATTTAGAGCACACGGGCAGAAGTTATTCGGCCCCCTATATGTCAGTTTGAAAATAGTTCCTGTGGCGTGATTCGAACTCTTGTCTTTGATGACTTTCGTTGTATCCGTTGCATACCCGCCATTATCACAAGCTGCAATTTTCTTAATCTGGGCCCAGTTGTTCAAAGGCCGATTGCCGCTAACCCATGGTTAAATTGTATTCCGGGTTACTTTATTTCCCTATTCAAGAGCTCTTTTCAGATAATTTTGTCTATTCTCTGTAGAGCATCCTATAATAAAATTGTAGGCAAAAAGAACTAGACTGAATTATCTTGCACAGCTTTCAGATCTGAAATCAAATTTTATACCAACCCTGGGTAATCTTGACCCAGCTTTGAACAACCCGGCCCGGCCCGTTTTTTGAATGTATTACTTGTTTAATAACTATGTTAACCGACGTATTTTTTTATTACTGGCAATACTCCATATCCGCGAATCAACATCACATCTGTAAACTGTTCTCTTTGGATATCAATCACAACTTCCCCTCGATTAATCACTTCAATAACAACCTCAATTGCTTTCTTTGAGGCTCGAGAGTTACACCAACCATCTCCGACACGAAATCGAGCTCTCTTGGAAACACAATTTTGACTTTCAACGTTGAATAAGATTTAAAACCATTTTTCGGGCGAGAACCGCTGCGTCGTTAGATAAGACAATCACGGCGTCGGGGAAGAGAGAAGAATTTTTTTTTTCTTTGTTGCCACACGCAGACTTCATCTACAAACAGACTTACGTCATTTAAACTTGTACAGTTTTTATTTAACTATTTTGATTAAAACCTGTCTGCACGGTAATTTTTTCTACTCTTGCGGCTTTCCTATCTAGATAATTCGTACGCATTACAAATTTCATGATTTAAAATGTTTGTATGCTGTCCTGTGTAGCCAAAACATTTTACGATAAAATCGGCATGAGGATTTTATTTCATCCATCTGATTTTTATCAACATTTTTGTCTATATGATTAAAATTAAAAATCGTTTTAGTTCCTTTTATATATACATAGATATATATATATATATATGTTTCGATTATTTTAATCAATCAGTCAAAAATTCTTGTCAAAATTGATGAATAAGTTCCTCCGTTTAGACTTTGGTAAGCCGACAACGTGAGATGTAGATATATCAATCGAACGACCCCGTGTATCTTCAAAATTAATAATTCTAGAACGGTTTGTAATATTTTGATTTGTTACCTTGAGATTTAAAGTAGCTGCGGATGCCTTGAGGCCGTCTTATGAATATGTGTTTCTTGAATAATCAATTCACTTACATTTTTTAAACCGAAATGTGATGCATCCGAAGCTACTGTACTGGCATGAGGTAAGTTTCTAAGTTTAACGGTTTTTTTCATTATTATGCTCAAGATTGCTTTCATATTAGTATTTGTTACGATTTGTAAAAGAGTTATTTAATCTATTCATACCATCGTCATGTATCTTTTAGACACAGGATTTTTATTGTTGACAGGATCAATTACATCCATTTTAACCTTCTCTTTGAAATTGATGATACCATTGAGAACCGTGTATATCTTATCCCAAGCAATAAGATCAACAACAGCAAATACTTGCAAATCTTGAGTGTCACTAATACCAGCTTTATTTTTCAAAACCATATCAATCATGAGACAATTCTGAGTCACATTGTAATATTTATGTAGATGAACTATATTTCGGCTGTGATCACTTAACAAATTAGTTGATGTTCTTGAAACTCTCAATACTACTGATAGCAGATATCTTGACTGTTGAAATGTCAATTGATGAAGCAAAGTTCAGTTCAAAAACGACAACATATTCACCAGTAGCAAGAGAGTACATATTAAGACCTACACGACTGCTGTAATAACCTTTGCTGAATCAAGATGAAGTTTACTCTCATATGTCTCTTTTTGGACTTTGTGAAAATCGTTATTGGTAATCTGGACACCAGTCACATCATCTTCATCACTGAATTCAGAAGGAGAGTTACCCATGAGATATTGAAATGCGTTTTTCTGATCTTTACCTGACACAAAATGATTTAATCTGTCATCAACGTACTTCTCATAATAGTTCATGATTGCATTATTGTTAGGGACCGTCTTATTGACAAAATCAACAGCAGCATGAGCGCTTTCATAAGGTGGTGCTCCTTTGATATTAGTTATGCTTGTATTCATATTGAGATTTCCAGTCATTGATCTCGAGCCATCAATTCTCAAAACATTGTTTGTTTTTGGATCAACATACCGTTGGTTGGAACTGTGTGTCGCATTTGTTGGGTCAGCGATGTTAATCTCCTTATTACCTTCATATCTAAATTGCCAATCATCGCCTGACTTTCATCCAATAATAAAGCAGTTGAAAGACTTACACTACTACTGCCAGATGGCAGTACCACCCTTTGGACCTTGTGCACCTTGTGGACCCTGAGCACCAGTATCACCTTTTTGTTCTCGAACACCGGTATCTCCTTTTGGCCCCTGTGCACCAGTATCTCCTTTATTACCCTTTTGTCCTGGTGGTCCAGCCGGCTCCTCCCTACCCTGTCCTCTATCATTACCTTTCAAATTTCCTCTAATGTGACTATCACCATTAAATGCTCCCATATATATATGATTATGTATTTTTGAAGTAATGTTCTATCAATTTTTTCATTATGATTGGTGTCAGTTTGTGAAAATGGTTTTATGACAACATTAACTTTTTTGTTTGCTTGATTCATTGATGTAATACAGACAACAGTAACGAAACAACACACTCACCCAGTTTTGATATTGAGCACTGTTACAATATAAAGATAATTAAATCCTAGTTTATCCAGGTCCAATTTGGTCATCAGGATTGATCATATAATATCCTTTTTTTAATTTACTCTGTATTTGATCTCTTGAAAATCATCATTGAAATGTTTTATTTCACACAGTTTAAGACATCGAAGTTTGATATCGCGGTGTTGTGTCTCCCCAACTGCCGTCAAAAGGTGGCGGTTAATACGGCATGGGTGCATCCTAGGGTCTATTCTGAAGACCATTTCCGCCCTGGTTCGATGTTGATGTTGATGGTTGTAATCGTGGCAGTAATGTTCTTAGCTTTGATTGTGTTGGTCGATTCTGCATACCTTTTCCTGTGCGAGCATTCGAGAGAAGAGACACACCAATCGATGCCAAAAGAGTACCAGTCCACCAGATTGAAAAAAAAAACTGCAAAAATCTGTTATTTCTGTTTTTTGGTTAAAAGATTTTTGTATGTATTCAATTGATCAATTTTATTCGGAAGAATAAGGAAATCACCTCTCTGGCTTGTGTTCTGATACCAACCTTGTCCAAGAATCTTATCCATTCCAAAATTACCAAGGTTACTCAAGGCACCAGTTGCAAGCCCAGGAAGTACTTTCGAGGCAGGATTTGTTGCCACTGGTAGCACTTTTGCGCCAAGACTCACAAGAGTACTGAACAATGACACTCCTTTCCTTGCAACATGACGAAACTATGCCTTTGATAACTTGACACCAACACTTACACCAGATGCAATTGCTTTCTGAAACTTTTTGAGCTGTGTCTTTGTTAGCATCAATTCATCATTTCTACGCAGTTCATGATTTGACAGTCGCAGAGTAATAGATGATTTATCTTTGAACGCTCTTGCTAATTTTGCTTTCTGATTATCACTCAAAGTGACACCATGTGAATGATATTGAGTCATAACTTGTATATAACATGTTACATAAATTTCAATGATCATGAAACATACTTGATTCTTCTTAATGGAAAATGAATGAAAATTATTAAACAATTTAAGCTTTGAGAACAGCTTTTCCATTCAACCTCAACTCTGATATCTTCCTCATGCAAAATAAGAGCATACGAACTAAATCCAGCATTTGGACCACCAGACAGAGTATATTTGAGTTCAAGCTTGGTTGATCCACTTTAAGTTCCTCTTCTTGGTTTGTCAAATCGAAATACAGAATTCCATACAGATCCTGAAAAGACCTAAGACTTATGGTGGGTCCTGAGAGATAATCATCGAATCCTTTTGAAAATGACATCAATTTTCTGTATGTTTTGACTATTTCAAACGTTGGATTCATTCTTTCTTGTGGATGTAAGACACCATTTGACATTTCAAGTTGAGCAGATGTGACTGTTTGATCGTTGGCAATGTTGTAAGTATTGAACAGTAACATGTTTTGTTCATGTTTATTCGATTTATTATTATTAAGAGCCCAAATGAATACATGCCTTGGTTAACTGATTCTGCTTTTAAGTTTAAAACTTCCCCGTCTTTGCTGTGTGCTTAGTGAAATCTCGACTCTCTCTTTGAGATATGACCACGTATGAGGTTTCAAATACTAATCAAGAAGCATCTGTTCACCCAATGCTTTGAGAATCATTTTAGGCACCCATAAAACGAATCTTGTGACAATATATCTGCCCACATTAAGACCGGTTGCTGCCAAAAGGAGGTTGGCATTAAATTCAAAATTCACATCAAAACTTACTTTACCGTTTGGTACCGTTTGATCAAAAAAATGATTGAAAAAACCAAATCCATTAAGTGTTAAGATCACATTAATGCTTGCATCAGCACCAGTAGAGAGAACCGCCTTTCTCTTCACAAATCCTTCAGTATAATTTGCATTGACACCATCAACAATATCACGTGCTTCACAAGCATAATTCTCATTATTTCGAACATGTTCAACTTGTCTCAATGTATGTTGGTTTAAATCAGTGTATTTGTATGTATGTGTATTTGAATGTATGTTGGTTTAAATCAGCCACCTTTTCCTGAGATTGACCATTTGCAGGTATTTTTATCGGATTTTGTAAATCAATGGAACCATTCATATCTCTTACAAATTTCTGAAGATCTAAAAATCGTGTGTATAATAAGTGTTCATGTAATTTACAGGTTAATCAATTTATCAAACTCTTGTGACAGCAG